TATTTCTATCCTTCCTTCAACTCTTAACCCAAGTCATGAAACTTTCTCCTCTTCACCTTAGAGAGTAACTCAATTTCATGAGAAAAAGATACTCTACTTTCAATCTCCCTTGATTTGACTCACATCTCTCTTAATAGAGCCAACAATCATCCTTTTTTGAACAGTTCTTGCAATTGGTCTCGTAACTCAAGCATTTGGAATCTGAATGAAACATGTGAGGTACTGAAATGTTTATTTTTCAAGGATACAGACATAAAGACCATTAGAGGATGTTTTTAACTAATTTAACCAATTTTAATTAGTTAGAAACAAAATTAGTACTGTAAGGTACTTAATTTTCAATTTCATATTTTAGTACACATACCAAATAGAGTATAATTGAGTGATATAGTGTCTAAATTGAGCTTAAGATAGCTCTTTGGAAAGGTAACAGTGCAAGGAATAATGTCAAGTAACCACCATGCAATTGTGAGACTCAAATTTACCCAAGAACAAGAATAAGGTAGTTGTGCTTAAGCAAAGTCCAAAATTAAAGCATTTACAATTATTGGAGTGTTAGTTGGTGAGTTAGTATACAAATTAAGAAAGGTTTTCCACATATAGATTTTTTCAAAAATTAAGATAAAGTTGTTGTTGCATGCTCTTTCAAAAAAATAGTTTTTGTAGAATTTTGCAATGGGCAGATTGTGAGTTTTTGACCAAAAATAGGAGAAATGACCTCCAAATTGAATTCCGCAGAAGGGATTTGAAAGTTAACATCCTAAGGATTATAGGAATCAACTGAAAATAATTTTTCATGTATGAAAAAGGTACAAAATAACATTTATACAAAACTATATTTCTGTTATCACTGAATACTTAACAAATTTGAGACACTTAGTTCATGCATATTGTTGAATAATCAAAAGGACTCCAAATTCTGCACAAGATGACTTGATGGAAATGTTATGTCATAAGGAACACAAAGATATAATGTATGTCAATAAAATCATATACAATTAATTCAAAAAGAAGACTTTTGTCAGTTTTATAAAAAAAATGTGATTTTGAGACAACTTCAATAAAAATTACATATCTCATTGATTTGTGGTCAAAATCCTACTCTGAAAGTGGTTATAGAAAGCTAAGAAAGTGTAATATTTGAAGGGATAAAACCAAGTTAAAAATGTGAAAGTTTACTAGATGAAACATGCAAAAAAGATTGCATACATAGTGAAAAATGTAGACTTCTTCAATGTAACTTTTAACATTGTGTATCTCACCATTTTGTGTATATCTTGGTGAATCAGAGTTCAATTGACAAGCCGCAAAGTGTGGAGCTTAGACTATGAATAATCTAGAAATACACCTAAGTATGGCAAATAGAGTTGTTAGGGTGGTTAAAATTGGCAAAACAAAGAGATGTGTGTAAGAAATTTAAAATTTATATTTACTTACAATTTTAAGTATAACTTGGTGATTTTAAGTCTAATCAAAGACCTAAAAAGTGCATTAGAAAGTTCTTTTCATGAGGACAGGGAAACGAGACTAGAACAATCTCAAAAAGGAAAGTTGCTAGGGTATTGTTATTGAATAGGATATTTTTTTAATTTTGCATTACATTTATAGACTTAAATATTTTTCTATATATTTGTGTAAATCTTTTGTTTTATTATCTTTTGATGATATAGTTTAACAAAAAAAAAATTGACATATAATAAATAGTCTTTTAATGGATCAAATCAATTACAAGAATTAAAAATAAAATTCTGTAAAAATTTAAAGACAAAAAAATTACTACAAAAATTAAAACTAAAAATTTGTGAAATAAGAATAAAAATTATATTAAAGTTAAATTTATATTAACTTAAGGCATTTCCGTATGCTACGAATAGTTAGAATATTCTCTGCCGCTTAGTTGTAATTCATCAAGGACCACACTACTACTAAGGGAGAGCACAAATGTTAATAGCTTAAATCAACCAATTAAAATGACATGGGATGAGAAGGGGGTTAGTGATCCATGGGTGAATTGATAAAGAAGGCCATATATTGTTTTAAAAAAATATCATGGACTAAAATTAAAAAAAAATAAATCTTTTAAAATTTTCACAATAAAAAATATATTTAAACTTTAATTATAATATTTACTCAAACAATAAAATATATATATATATATATATATATATATTTACTATTGAATAAGAAATTAAATAATGAGGCTAAAAAAATTCAACTTTTCTTCTTTAGATGAAGAAATGTTACTATTTGCTTTAATTTTTCATTTGTCAATTATTACCACAGAATGTGCTTTTGTCAGCGATGAAAGTTATTAAAAGAAATTATACAATATGATGAAAAATAATTTTCTTACTAATAATATAATTTTTTATATTGAGAATGATATTATTAACAATATTAACAATAAATATGCTGTATGTCAAACATTATATCAATTGTAAATTTATTAAAACAATTTATATTGTTAACTCTAGTTTCTAAAATTAAATTATTTAATAATTTTTTATGAAATGCAAGATTATTAATTCAATTATTAGTTTAATATTCTTATAAGTATATTAATTTTATAAGATTTTGAGAAAAAATAAAAATAATAGACAATTTATCGCATTACTTTATTTTAACGAATAATATATTTTTAAACTAAAGTAAACATCAAATTTTGAATAGCATCCAACAAATATTTAAATTATGAAAAATTTAATATACATAATTATAAATATTGATATAATATGATTCATGAAAAAGTCAATTTTACTTTGTATAAAAATTTATTAAATGAATTAATGAAGGTTGGTTTAAGTGACAAGTGGTTCGGTAATCTTTAAACAAGGTCTTGTGTTCGAGTCCTTATGTATCCAAAAAATCTCCAGTAGTAGACTCACTCATTATTTATACATAAAATGGTCAAATTTAAACATTTATACATCTTAATAATTTTTTTATAAAATATAAGATTAACTAATTTAATTTTAAATTATTTTATATTATCTTCGTAATCATGAATATTGAATTTAAAAAGTAACATTAACTAAATTTGTTAAGTTAGTTATTATCAAAATACTTAAAATTATTTATTTAAAAAAATTTAATGTGTTAAAAAAATAAATACAACAACATTATAATGAAAATCATAGACATGTAATATTTAATATTGTAAAATTTATGAACATAGAAAAGTACCTTAAGAACGTAGAAAAAATTGATGAATATTTACAAATTAAAATTTTAAATCATCTTAGTTTGATAAAATATATTTTTAAAGTGAAAAAACCTAATTTGATATTGAATTGATATTTTTAAAATACATTTTATACTTAAAAATAGTTTTTAATTAATTTTAAATAAAATAATTTAATAAAAATGATAAACAAAACATGTCTATTTTATTAACAAATAGTATAATATTTATTAATTACTCTCTAAAAAAAGTGTTTATTTATTTATTTATTTATAAAAAATTATTATAGGAACATCACATATATAATAAATGTTTTTAAAGTTACAAGACACAAAATTTCTAAAAATAAGTTAGCTAAATTTGTTAAGTTATTTATGATGTAAATGCTCAAAATTATTTATTTAAATAAAATTTTATGTGTTAAAAAATAAATGCAACACTATTATAATAAAAATTATAAACACATAATACTTAATATTGTAAAATTCATGAATGCAGAAAAGTAATTATGAACTTAATAAAAATTAATAAATATTTACAAATTTAAATTTTAGTCCATTTTAATTTGATAAAAAAATTTAATTTGATAAAAAAATTTAATTTTTAAAATATTTTTTATATTTAAAATATAATTTTTAACTAATTTTAAATAAAATAATTTAATAAAAAATTATAAACAAAGGCATGTGAATTTTACTATAAAAATAGTATAATATTTATTAATTATTTTCCAAAACAGTGAATTGACCGCCTCTAACTCTAACTTTTAACTCACTTATTTCTTTTTACAGATTAAGACTTAAGGTCAATGTGAGTCACTACATATAGGACTTGAAAAATTTTACATAAAAAAAAATCTTTATTTTATTTTGTCTCTGGTTAAACATTATTTACCCCTCACACTAAAATAATATCTTTATTCAAATGCACTTCTCTTATTGGACATGTATCTTATTTACTTTGAGATTTGATTACTTAGAAACAAATCAAGCCATCGTGTTTAAGAAAATAAAGCTTTATCAATATTTATTTATTTTTATTCACAAGACTAAAACTAAGAATACTTGAATAAAATTAATCAACTTAATCAACTAAGACCAATCAATGACTCCATCATTAATCCCATTTTCATACATAATGGCACGTCAATTAAATTAGGGTTGAATTCACAATAATAATAAAATATGCTTTAAATTTATGTAATATATTAAATAATAAATTAGTATAAGATTATTAAAAAAAATAAGTTATATAGCACAAAAAAAAGTTAAGTAAAAATTTAAATTAGTATAAAAAATTATATTACATATTACATGCACAAATAAAAGTAACTGAAGAAACTAATTTTCTATATTAGTTCTTATTCAATTTTAACCGATTTTTAATTAATCTTTCACACGATCAATTTTTAAATTGTCCTCAATACAATTTTAATAATAGGAGTCTTATTAAGCATGGTCTAATGATATTAATTAAAAAATTAAAAATTCATTAAAATATTCTAAAAATTATAAAAATAAGCAAATTTTTATATTTTTAATGAAGCATTTTTTTTTATTTTTAATCTCTTAACTAGAGCACTAAAGACACTGAAGAGGATGTTGATTTCATTACGTTGGCTGGTACAAATGAATAAGAAATTGGATAAACAATAACTTACTGTACTATCAACAATTATCAAAAGATTTGTTTATAAAGAAAATACATTTGAGGCCATAACTGGCACATTTCAGTTAACCAAAACATCACTGAATACGAAGAAAAAGCTATAAAAAAGAAAAATCACCTTTTGGCAAAAATATACTATTATTCTTAATATTTAAAAGGAAGCAGCCAATGGTGAATCAGAAAGATGAACCAACCTTTTCTTGTCTGTTTGCAAGAGTTTTGCAAACACAGCAACTAATGGTGCAGTGTTATATGTGCAAGCCTCAGTCTGCATATAATTGTTCCTTTGATCCTCAAAATTGTCCTGTAAATCAGGCCCTCCAACCAAAGCCCCAACCAGAATGTTAGGATTTGGTTGCTGGGTGTTGTACCAATTATCATACCCTTGTGTGCACCCTATGAACCCTTTATTCTCTCTATATGACACAATGGATGCCCCTCTATGATGCACCCTTTTGGGGTATCTATGCCCATACCCCACCAAGTAGCTTATGTTATGTGGGTTTAAGCCCAAAATGTAATCAACTTGTGACTTAGCAAAATTGAGAATCTCTTCATGGGTCACTATCTCACCATGGCAATTGAGCTTTCGATTCTCGGTTTGGAGTAAGTCAGAATACACTGTGAGCACAAATGCTGCTGTTGAAACGTATTGCATGTTGTTCCATTCTCTTACATAGAGTAATCCTGCTGGTGTTCGTTGCACATTACTTCCATTGTTTTTGTTGAGACATGAACATATGTAGTACTCTGCTTTTGATCTGTATTTTTCAAGTATATCAGCATGCTTCTTGTGTTTTTCTTTCATCAAAAACTGCAAAAGATACAACTGTGTTACAATCACAAATAATTAGTAAAACAGCTCTACCATATGTAGTATATAGATCATAACCTTTCTTATTTACTTTTCTTTTTTGTTTGTTGCTGTTAGTTTAACTCTAAATTTTTCTTTTCTCTTTAGATATTCTAACACAACTTCTGCTCATTCCTACAATAATTAGTAAACTCAGGCTTGTCTTGTTAGCTATTTAATATTTTAGGGGGTGTTTGAAAATCTTATACAGAGCTTCTAAAATTATAGTTTACAACGTCCATAAGCTTTTTTGGTAAAACTCATCAAAATAAGTTTATTCTAAGAAGTTTCATGATTAAACTCATGCCATAATCCCTCAAGTAAAAAGAGTTTATTAAAAAGCTAAAACACACCCTTAGTACTAAACCTTTAGGGTCAATTTCTTTGAGTTTAGTTTTCATGAAATAGTATTTAATTTGTTTGATTGAAAAACAAGTTCTAAAAAAATTATAATAATTATGTAAGTATTTTCGAAACAAGCATAAACTTAAAAAAAAAAATTCTTCTTAAGATTAAAACTAGTAATTTCTGAAAAGAAAAAAATACGATTACAAAATTATATTTTTATGTTTAAACAATAAGACACTAAATCATTTTCTTCTTTTATTTATTGATCATATTTTCATCATTTACATAACCATTAAAAAAAACAAATATTGTGATCACTTTACAATTTCAACAATATCATAGCAGAAACAGTAATAACAACCGCAGGAACCTAAAAATTATCTTAGACCCAAAATATTGAATGACCCATCTCATAAAACAAAAATATTTCCACCAATAAAAGATCAATATCTTCATAAAGCTATATATTGGACTCACTAACCACACACTTTATATCATATGATCCCATTTAGCTAGCTACAGTATTACACACTAACAATAATGTTTTGATAGGCACGTTAGTCAGACAAAAACATAAAGGGTGGGTCAAGGTAAGGCATGTGAACCATGTGTAGTGCTGATGTTTCCATCCACCATCAATCATTGTGCATTACTATTTACTAGCAAGGTTATGTATGAACTTTGGCACTTCCTACTTCTTAACATGCATATATAGCCTTTGAGCAAATAAGGTAAAGTAAATCCAGTGGACACTCCAACTCTATCCAAGTCTCCAAAACATGCAGTTTTGGCTGTCCAACTGATTTCTGGAAGAAAACAAATGAAGTATGCTTTCCCTGCCCACTGCTATGAAAGTGGGGCACACAACTGCAATCTATTCCCACATGAGTTGAAGGGTTGAGACCATATCAATCAAATATTCAATCAGTGCATTCCATTATTACCTTTTTTGACAGCCTATGCACATATATAGGTGAAATCTACATATGACATTATTGTATTACCTACCTTTATTTCTCAACAAACAAGTTTCATTTCTCTAGGATGCAGGGTATACTTTAGGAAGAAGGTATGGTATAAAGTGATGATAATAACTAATTTATAATAATAATTAAATTTATAATGATATATATAATTAATAAAGAAGATAAAATTTTAATTACTAATTTTTCAACTATCAATTAATTATCATTTTAAACTTTTAATTCTATTATTAGAATAATTAAGAATTTAATATCATATGCAGCACTTTATATAATATTTTTTATAACTTTAAATGTACAAAATAAAACAGATAACTAAAAGTCCGCCCCCCCCCCCCCCAAAAAAAAAAGAAAAAAGAAAAACAAATTGAGCAAAAATTGTTTTTGTTATACTTTACAAAGCATATCCCCATACTTTAGTGAAAGGAAATCCAAATCCAGAAATAAAGTGATAGATAACTGAGATGGTGTTGCAACATAGTACAATCCCTGTTCACAGCACAGAAAGTTAACTTGTGGCATAACCATGAGGCTCATCAGTGCCAACTTTAATTGTGGGGTGATAGACTGCATAAGCTGCACATGGCATTGCAATTGCACACACTTCAAATTTTCAACTCTCAGAAAATCTAGGTTAAAATATTGCCTACTCGATTGATTACTTTTAAAAGTAAAGTAAAAGTAACAAGAATTAATCGTCAACCCATCATTTCAATTTTGAAATCAGGTTAGACAGAAAAGCGAAATGCAAACAATGTTAAAGAAATAGAAAACAAGAAACATGTTTGAAAAACAAATAAAAGGAAAAAGCGCTATGGACAATTTTTGTTTGATCTATTTCAATGCTTATTGAGAAACGAGAAACGAGACAAGAAAAGAGTGATTGAAGGAAACTTTTTGGCACAATATTTTGTGAGTAGAACAATGTTATTCATATATTTTATTTCTACAAGAGTGTTGAACCATATTTTTAACACACTCTTTGGTTAAAATTTATTAAAAATTAAAAAAACTTATTATATAATAAAAAGTTATTATATTCAAATACTTACATTCAGTCTTAAAGATTAAAATTAAAAGAATCCATATTTAAAATGTATTTTTAAGTAACATGTATAAAAATGACAAAAGGGAATAAGTTAAACATAAAAAAGATATATAATGTTGAATCTTTTATAGTGAAACAGTGGAACTGAAATTTTTATTATAGTTTTTACCTTTGAGGCCAAGACTTGGAGGCCAGCATATTTAACATCCCAGCTAAACTCTGTGATGGCCCAACCAATGCCCCCAAAGGTATGAGCTTTGGAAATAACGTAGTGAAAATACTCTTTCTTGTCGGTGGCTTTGTACAACCACATGGCTGCCCACAACAACTCATCCATGTATCCACTCACCGACGCATAGTAGTTCTTCACTGCTCCAACACTCCCATCATATTTTCCTCTGTACTTCTCCCCAAACTCAAATAACTGCTTTGTACACACACCAAATATTGCTTTCAATTAATAAACGAAAACTCAAAAATCTACATATGCACAACTACTTTATATCCAGCAACATTGTTATTTTTCTAATAAATGTCTAGTTTTTACCACTTTTCATATCCCACTATTGTTTTTAAAGTCAGATGACTGATTTTTTGGTTAGATTGTGTTTAAATTTTTTTCTGCATATTTAAGGACCATTTAGAAAAATATACTTTTTTTATAACTTTTATAACTTATTTAAAAAATTCATAATTAAATTTATATAATTCTTTTGATGAGCCTTCCTATACTGTGAATAATTTCATTTAAATATATAAGTTATTAAGTTATTTTAATTGATTAAATACTTAAGATATTCATTCAAACATATCATAAGTCTTGCATCCTTTACTGATCACTCAAACCTAAATGTACTTGACATGGAGACTGTCAAACTTCCTTAGTTTTTGCATCCTATACTGGTCTCAAACTTTAATGTACATGACATGGAAACATTACTATGGTTCCTATTTAAAAGTAACCCACTAAGAACAAGTACTAGATGGTGAATAGCCAAAATTAAGCACACTAGAGTTTACCTGCTGAGCATGGTGTAGAAGCAGGTGAGAGTAATGTGGGTTAGTGTTCCTGAAGAGAATGGAGGCAGCTGCCATAGCTGCAGCGGTTTCTCCAGCCAGATCTGAACCTGGATTTTCCTCATCAATCTTAAATGCTTGTCTTGAAGTTGTCATGTCCTCAGGGCGTTGCCAACAGTAATGGTCAGTGTCTCCATCACCCACCTAAGTGGAAGACAAAACTTTGAGGATTTTTCTTAATTGTATGAATGTCACTAGGAAAAGCAGGTAACTAACTACCTCTGCCCACAACACATGTGGACTAGTGTGAGCTTTGATGAAGTAATCAGTTCCCCATTTTATTGCTTCCATTGTGTGTTCTAGTTCACCAGCATCCTCAATTTGTTGCCGAAACTCTATGGCACCCCATGATAGCATAGTCACTGTAAATGCCATTGGTAATCCAAACTTCACATGATCACCTGCATCATAGTACCCTCCAACCAAGTCCACCTGTCTCGAAACCCAAAATTAAAATATAGTGTTCAACATTTATCAACTCAAACGCTCTCATGTAAGAAATTTGGATTCACTCACCCCTTGTTCGAGACCATCTATGAGACCAGAATGGTCACGCCATGAGACACGCTGGTTATATGGTAGTCTCCCAGAGCGTTGCGCTTCAAAGTAAAGTAGGCTCTTTGAGAGTGCATCAGCATAATCAAAGGCTTGAGACACAGATTTTGTGAAAAGGGTAAAGAAGAATATGAAGAGAAAAAGGTAACAATGTTGTACAAATCTTTGACGTTTGAAACCTCCAAAATGGTGTCTCTCTTTCTCCATTGTCCCTTCCCTCCTAAACAAAAACTCTTTAGGAGTGAAGGGAATTGGAAAAAGTGAGGCCACACTTCAAGACACCACGGTTCAGCAGTGATTTGAATTGTCTTCGAATTTTGAAAAGTGAAAACCTTGTGTTGTGCCTATGGTCTGATAGCTTAGGAGAGTCTCAGTAGAGAATGTGAAACGCAAGACCACTTTGTATTTCTTCCAGCGAGCTTGAATTTTCAAATGCTTATGAGTTATGATGATATTGATGTGTCACATTTGAAAAATAAGGAAAATGCACACTGCTACGTGGAAGAATTACTCCACTGGGATTTCAAAGATGCCATTCCCTCTCTATTTATTGCAAGGAACAACGGTTGTTCAAAATGTCTAGTGTCTTGCAACTTTGTCGGATACCTATTGTTATACACTTTTACGAAATACGAATACTTCTGCTATACCGTCAAATCCTATATATCAGAGTTTATTTAACTTTCTAAACAAGAAAAAAAAAATGTATGATTATTTAGGATGGATTTACCTTTGTAGTTACCTTGGAATTATTGGAAGCAGAACAAAGCTTTCTACATGCTTTATGTTTGGAAGTATTTAGGTAAAAAGAGAAAAAAAAATTACACAAATTTACCGTGGTTTGATACTTTTTATTTTACATCAATAAACTCCTAAAATATTTTTTTTAATTTATAATTTTTTATCAATAAAATTATAAAGTCAAAGGACTATATGTTATTTCAGTGAATAAACGTAAAATAAATTCTTCTATTTATAATATTTTTTTATAAATTTTTCAATGTGAAACTTATATGAATAGTCTAACAACACAAATTTTCTCTTATCTTTCTCTTTATCTAAAGTCTCACAATTTTTCACTTTGTTAATAACCTTTTTTTTTTCTATGTGTATAATTCATTAACTAATATATTTTCACTTCAAATTATAAAAAAAATAATTTTTTTTTTGTTTCCCTTTTATTTTTTTTCATCTTTATCCAAAATCTTCTTTTAACATGATTAGACACAGATCTAATAATACCATGAAGAGAGAGAAAAGTTATCTCTGTTTTATTTCTAGAAGCATCTAAATTAAAAACAAAAAACAAAAGTAAAATTTACAACTTAATGTGATTTGACATTTTTTTTTTGTCTATGTCCACAAATTATTAATATAATTTTATTTTTATCAAATAAATTTACAAACTTCTCATCAAAAATTTTTGGACAAACAAAATTAAAAACTCTCGTCTTTATAATTTTGTGACAGAAATTTGCAAACTCCTATTTGACACACAACTAACTACCAAAGCTCCAAGTACACCTATTTTATTATGGGAAGTATAAAATAAAATCTTGTATTTATAATATTTTTTGTCTTTTACTTCTTCATATTTTTCAATATAAAACTTGGATGAATAGCATAATAAAAAATGTATTTATCAACATTCCTATAGTATTTGTAGTGAACCAATGGTAAACATTAAGAAAATATTTTATTTTTATAAGATTACATATAATTTTTGGTTTAAATACAATTTTTTTTTTGTCTTTATATACATGACAATAATTTTTTATTTGGTTTTTAGATGAAAAAAGTTTATAGATTCATCCTTTTATAAAAAAAAAAGTATTTTCATTTTAAGCCATGCCATGAAAAGATGTTATAAGTGGCAAATGAAATTCCAACACCAAAAATATGATTACTTGAAGACATAAAAGACAACCTAGGCAAAGTTATATCTTGCAATTGTGTGCAATCTTACAATGACATCTTCTTCAAACACAAGTAAGAATATCTAAGCATATAATTCTTCAATTTAAATTACTATGACTCCATATAATGTATAAATAGTTTGCATTATTTTGATGGTTTTTAGTTAATAAAAAGATCAATTTGTCATTAAAAATATTTAAATTTTGTTTGTTTGGTCTTGCAACAAATATGAAAAAGTTTGGTTAACACCTGCAAGGGAAGAGTGTGATAATATCAATGAGACAAATTCTAAGGAAAATAATGATGAAAGGACCATAACATGACAAAGAACCTATAAACATATTTGTTGAGAAGAAAATACTAGAATAGATATGAGAATAATGAATGTCAAGTTTGGCAAGAAAAATAAAAAGTTGATAGAAAAGTCTAAAGAAAAAGGTAAGTTATGCACAAAATCAAGGAAAAGACATGATAAAGAAAGAAGTGATGGTTATGAAACATAAGAGTAAAGACTAGAATAAAAGGATAAAATTTAAAGTGTAAAATTATCTTAAATAGTTTCAAGTGGACTTATAAGAAAGAACTTGTTTATGCAAGTTATGGAGACTTAAAAGAATTTCATGTATGTAATATGCATTCTATCATATCCAACACTTCAATTTCAACATTATTATCTAGTCTATTTTTATTTTTATTTAACAAGCATGCAGTTGTAGCCATATTTTCCAACAATTAAGATCATATGCAATTTTTTGATAAATGATATTATACACTTGTGCGAAATGCTACAAATCAATAATTCACTCAAGCTTTGTTTGGAAGTTATATTTACGAGAGAAAGGGGAGGAGTTAGTAGGGTTTAATTTTTGTTTAGGAGTTAATTAATTTAGAGAGGAGGGTTAAGAGGTTTTTCTAAATCCTCTAAAACACTCTTAAACTTAATTTTATGAGTTTTCCATTAAGGAGTTTTTTTAATAGATTTTTAAAATGACTAATTTACTCTTGGTGTATTTCTTAATCCCTTCTAAAAAAAAGTGTGATGTTAATTTTAAAGGAAAAAATTACAATTTTTTTTTTAAATATTAGTTTTTAGACTGAGAACTTTTAAAATATATAAAAAATAGAAATATAAATTTTAAAATATTATTTGGAGGGAGAAAAATATATAATTTATGTATTTTTTTAAAAAAATTAAAGAAAAGAATAACAATAAATTAATTTTTTTTAAAATATATTAGTTTTTAGAATGATATTTTTTAAAAATTTGTAAAAAATATAAATATAATTTTTAAAAATATTAATTTTTAGAGGGAGAAAATTATTTTATTTTTTTATTTTTTAAAAAAATAAAAAAATAAAAAAAAGGTATAAAAGATAATAATGTCAGTTATATTATTAACCTCCTATTACCTTCCTCTCTCCATATTAAATATCTAAATAAGGGAGATGTTTAATTCCCCTTCCCTTTCAAGTCTTTTCCTTTTCTCCTCCTTCAAACTCTTAAACAAAGCCTTAATAAGCAGAGAACAAATGTGTCATGGAACATAACATCCAACTATGAACTAATATAGAAATAAAAAAAAACTTAGAAGAAGGGAAAAATATGAACTTGTCTAACCTTATAAGATAATGAAACAATGTACTTCCATGTTCAAAGTGTGGAATGTATGGCTATATCTACTTCAAAACTTAACACCTCCTAAAAGTTCAGAAAGGACTTAAAACTTTGTTGTAGGAAACGTCAATCTATCAATTGTATCATATTCAGTTGTAAATTCTCAACCTGCTACATCAATTGGATTTGTATATTCATCATCTACAATAATTATACTAGCTGAGTTTAGACCAAAATTATATCTAGTCTAATTTTATTTTTATTTAACAAGTATGCAGTTGTAGCCATATTTTTCAACACTTAAGATCATATGAAATTTGTTGATAAATGCTATTATACACTTGTGCGAAATGCTACAAATCAATAATTCACTCAAGTTTTGTTTGGAAGTTATTTTTGAGAGAGAAAAGGAGAGGTTAGAGTTAATTAATTTGGAGGGAGAGGATTAAGAGATTTTTCTAAAAATGTTATTTATTTAATTTGTTTAGGAGTTAATTATTTTTTAAAAAAAATGTTAGTTTTTAGATTGAATTTTTTTAAAAAATATATAAAAAATAAAATATAAATTTTAAAAATATTATTTGGAGGGGGAAAATATATAATTTATGTATTTTTTGAAAAATTAAAGAAAAGAATAACAATAAATTATTTTTTTCAAAATATATTATTTTTTAGAGTAATATTTTTAAAAAAATTATAAAAAATAGAAATATAAGTTTTAAAATATTAATTTTAGAGGGATAAAAATATTTAATTTTTTTAGTTTTTGAAAAAATAAAAAATATAAATAAAAAGTATAAAAGATAATAATGTCAGTTACATTATTAACCTACTGTCACCTTCCTCTCTCCATGTTAAACATCTAAATAAGGGAGGAGTTTAATTCTCTTCTCCTCCCTCCTTTCTTCTTCAAACTCTTTTCTTTTCTCCCTCTCCAAACTATCAAACAAAGCCTTAATAAACAAGAGAACAAACGTGTTATGGAATATAACATATAACTGTGAACTGATATGGAGATTAAAAAAACTTAAAAGGATAGAAAGGTATGAGTTTGCTTAACCTTATAAGATAATGAAACAGCGTACTTCCATGTTCAAAGTGTTGAATGTATGGTTATATCTACTTCAAAACTTAACACCTCCTAAAAGTCCAAAAAAAGGCCTGAAACTTTGCTGTAAAAATTGTCAACCTATCAATTGTATCACATTCAGTTGTGAATTCTCAACCTGCTACATCAATTGGATTTGTATATTCATCATCTACAATAATTATACTAACTGAGTTTAGACCAAAATTTATAGTTTCCAAAGCTCCATACAAATGGCATAACTCACACTTAACACTAAGTTGTTGTGTGCAAAGGGAAGCAAGAGTTTCAATAGTCAGAGACCTAAATCTAATGATTAATGTCTTTTTTCATTTTGATTTTTGGTTTTCTAATAAATGTAATGCTGAAAAGTTTTCTATATGTTTAATTCCCCGTGTTTCATACTCTAGATTTAAATACATTTTGTTATACATGATACATATTTTAAAAATGTATAAGGTTTAGGGATCAAATTAAAAAATAGTGTCATGTATAAAGACCAAAAAAGCATTTAAACCTAAACTCTCACCCACAATTACATCAACTTTTATGAACAATCTACCCACTCACATACATCAAACGCTTGTT